AATTGTTACTCCACTCAGATTTCTTGCTGCACTTTTTACAAGTTGTGTTTCAACAATTTAGTTGTGCCACATTATTTGCCTAATCTTAATTTGCTGGTTTAAATAGCAAATTTGTTTTCAGATGTTCTGCAAGTACAAAGCTGATCTTTATGGTCAGACAATGGATCTTATTGCTTGCAACAACTTTGTCAAAGGTGTAAAGGTGAATTAATTGGCATCAAAAATTGAGTTTTCATAGCATAGCGTCATATTACCTTGATGTTTGTTTTGCGGCTCCAGCCTGTGAATATCACAAGGAGTGCTTGGCAAGCAAAATAACCTGCAGAGTAAATTCTGCAAGCTCACACGTTTCTCCACGTATCTATAAAGCTGCATGTAGTCACTGAAGGAACATTAATTAGGCTTCTATAGAAACTTTCACAGCTTTAAAAATAGCTTTTATAAAGCAAACATTTGTAGTCTGGCTTACATCAGGCTACTTTAATCATTAAGCACCTTTTAAAACAGACCAGTGTGCATTTATAAAACCAAACCTAAAAGGAACACCAACACAGAAGAGCTTAAAAGTCAAGTCTAAAATAACTCATAACTTTCTCTCATTGATTGTACTAGTTCATTGTTGTTGTTTTTTTTTTTTTGCCATATTATATTATTGGCACTGGTTGAAGGTCACTCATGGGAGGCTTACTTAAGAGAGAAAATGATAATCAAAGTGCAAATTTAGAAAAGCATAGATTACGATTTCAGAGTTACTTTTAACTAGAATAAAAGCTCTAGTTGTTTTTATTGCCAAAAACTAGAGCACTTTGGCAAGTGCTAGGTCTGAACATCATGACTCAAGTTGAGGACTTTGTTGTTGTAGTTTTTTTTTACCCCCAATTAAAACCTGTTTGATTCAGAATTCTTTGAACTAAGTCTTGAAAATTCTACTTAACATCATATAGAGATTAAATCTAATTTGTTGGACACATAGAAGAATTTGGAAAAATAAACAATGATGTTCTTTTCTTGTTTTATACAATTATTGTGCCTGACCTGCAGCATTAAACCCAACCCAGGACAAATATTCACCGGGGTGTAAATAATCTTCCCCTAAACGTGGAAGAAAGCTTGCAAATTTTTCCAGGTTCTAAAAGTCTTCTTTGACTTTTAGTCAGATTAATTTAATCATATATATATATATATATTATATATATATATATTGTCTTTTTTGTGGAGCTATAATGCCACAAAGTTGAGTATTTTCTGTAGAACTCACAGGATCAAGATGCTGCCATTACCTACACCAGTGTAGGTAATGGCAGCTCATAACTGATCAGACTGAATTAAAAGAATTGCTAAATTGTGACATTGTTACGCTGGCTCTTTTTGTAATGAGTTTTTCTTGCACCGATGTCTGCAGACGCTCACCGCTTGCACCATGTCAGCAGCCTGGCCTGGATCGACGCTCACACTCTAGTCACCACCTCCCATGATGCCACTGTCAAGCAGTGGACAATCAAATACTGAGCTGCAAGAAAAACATTCACATCTCCAGGGACAAGGACTACTGTAGAAATTAAGCTTTTTTTTTCTTTTCTTTTTTTTATTCTCTCCTCTTAATGTACTGTTAAGCATCAAAACTCTATGCTGTCTGTAACATCTGAATTATAAATGGTTATGCTAGTGATGGCGTCCAGAAAACAGTTTTAACACAAGTCTATTTGCAGGTGAAATGTTGAATTATGAAATGTAACCATGAGTGCTTTTGCAGCTCTACATAGACGCAAACATGTTTGTGATCATTCCACAGTTTACTGAAATCCTTTTCTGTGCATCGGGCCCTTTGAGGAGGAACAATGAGCTTTTTACCAGAGCAGAACATGTTTCAATGAAATAAAACCTTTTGGTTACATTCCTGAAATGAATTGGTACCTGGAGCAGATGTCCATTTTTTTCTTTAACAATATTTTACAGTTTTGTGTTTTTATTTGTTTGGTTTTTTTTTTTGTCAACATTCAGACTTTGACTCTGATCTTTGTGATCGGAACCATTAAGGAAATGAGAGAACAAGGAATACAATCAAAATGCTGTCTTTTCTGTTAGGTCTTGTTGGTGGTGTTTAGCTTGTCTCAGTTTTATTTCGATGTCTTTATGAGTGTCTAAAGAGGAACTTGGTTCACTAATTATGATAATAAAAGGTAACTTCTTATGCATTCATCTTCTTACGCATTACTCTTAGCACTTCAAGGCAGACAACATGCACTTATGTTGCGAACTTTTGTCTGCTAACTGCAGATGATCCCTTTTGTCTTAAAGCTATTGATGAAAACTTTAGTTCAAAAAGCACGTCTTTGATCCTCTGTTGTGGCTCCTGAAGTACTGTCTGCAGCAGAAGTTCATGCCTTTTAAATAAGATTTGGTTTCGAATCCTCAAAACATTTCTGGTGATTAAATTTATTTTTTTTTTATTTTCTTCTGTTCAGCTTTCCAATATGACCCTCTGCCCCCAAAATCTTTAGTTTCTGCAACATGCATAACTCGTGTCGGTACCCTTTCCTCCAGAAAGGGTACCGACAATGACAGAATCCTGTCATTGTGTGAGTCTTGTGTAATTTGATTTTGAGAAACTGGTTAGCTGCTAGTCAGTCATCAAAATTTAGTGGAACTAAACTCTTGAAATGTCTTCAAAGTATCTATGTGAATTATACTTTTTAACTGTACCTAAAACATTTTCTATGACCGAACATTCCTCTTGCTAGTTTAATTAACCAAACCCAGCAGGAGAAAGTTCTGCAAACTTTCGAACTGGAGTCATTTGTAAACCCAGATTTGTGCAGATGTTTTAGGAATGCAAACTTAGTGATGGGGAGTTTGTAGCTTCCATGTTTTGATATACGAGTAACAATGCCTGAATATTTTCATCGTTAAAATTGCTTTCAGTCCAGTTTTACTTTTGTTAGAAAGCAAACTGAGTGATTGCTCTTTTTTTTGGGTGGGGCTGTCTTGAAATCCATCAGCACACTGAACATTAGATATCTCATCAATGACATCCTTTATCCTTGTTTATTTACCCAAGCTGCCTGATAAAACTAAGGGATTTAATGGCTCCGTCGATTTGAAAAACCTTGTGAATGTGTATTGGCACAATCCGTATCCCAAGGAGAGGAAACAAACGATTATCTCACATTTACAGCACCTATCGTTGACATTTAACCCAGTGAGTACTGATGACTCTGTTTACACCGCTCTTATTAAAAACGCTGACAGGAGTTGTCACTCTAAACGCAGTAGTAAGCACAGTGAAAGGTGCACAGTAGACAAATGTTTATCATTGCAGCATAAATTTCCACCCCAGTCTAAATTTTACAATGCTCTGTGATAAGATGTCCGTGGAATCAAAACTGTCTTTCAACATGATTGCTGCTCTGTGTGCTGTATACCTGATACATCATTTTCATTTAGTCTAGAGTTTTATTATACTCATGCACAATTTAAGACTCTGATCTCTGATCTGTAATTGTGGAAGGAAATGCATTTAAAGGATGATTAATTAGCTTGGGATTTTTTTTTTTTTTTTTTTTTGCCAAATTGTGGATTTTTGAAATAAGAGGATAATGTAAAAGTCTTAGTATCTACACAGATTCCTGCTGTCAAAACTGTCAACAAATGCAGCTGTAAGCTTTAGAAATACTCAAACAACTTTAACTTCATCACAGGATTCAGCCCAGAGGGCTTTCACTAGCTGCTGTAATAAATATTAAAATACAGGCAAGAATTACAAGAACGGTAAAAATTTCCCATGTTTTACATTCAAACTTATTTCAGTTCAACCAAGGAATTTGTCACTGAAGACAAACGAGACACACATCTACTGCAATATTAAAATAAAATTGTAATATTGATAAATTGTCTTTCCTTACATTTTATTAAACTATAGGATTGTAATTTTAAGCTCCCTTCGAACAGATTCAAATCAGGACTCTGGCAAAAACAGCGTTTGACTGAAGTGGTGCTGCACTGATTATTGAGACTAATATTTAATGCACAACATGCCTCACGGAAGTATGCTGGAAAACTTTTTATTTATTTATTTATTTTTTGTGCATTGTGTAGTTTGAATCACAAATTTCTGCAGGGAAAATGAGGATAGGGAATAATTTATTACTTGTTTATCTTTGCAGGGTTGCAGGTTGGTGCCTGACTCTGGAGGTACAGCCTGGACACAGGCAGTAGCAAGACAACAGTGAACTGGTGATAAATAACAATTAGAAATCAGTACAGAAAAAAATGAGTGGGAGGGGGAGATACGTTTCCAAAACAGAACTGTTGAAATGTCCCAAAAATCCTAAATTATGATCCTTTTACTTGGCGCTTGTCAGTAACAGATTCATGTTCTCTAACGAAACAAACCTTTTGATACCAAACGGAAACACACGATTGCCTTTCTTCTTTTTTATCCTTTAGCGCAGCTCTTTGTTGCTCAAGGTGGAAAGCAGCTACAAGTTTACCAAAAGGGTTGTTCTATTTATCTTAATAATATTTTTGCACAGTTTGCTGCCAGAGGAGACCCAGTAAATCAACCTGAGGCAGCACAGCGTGTGAGCATCAATATCGGGTGGTCAAACCCGGATGTTCCCATGGTTCTCTGAAATAAAAGAGCTTGCTCCAACTGCATTCTAGAGAAATCAAATTATAGTTAAAAGTAATAATTTATCATTTTAAGAAGGGGTTGAATTAAGCCGTTACGTTTGCACTGCAACTATTAATCAGGATTTAGACAATGGTCTGTGCTTATTAAACGGTTTTTAACCCCTCAGTTATTTTTCATATGTAGCAGTAGCCTGCATTGTGTTAACAAAGGGAAATGATTGACTTAAATGTTGCATAGGTGGGCTCCCTTAGCTGCACTCTGGTTACAGCGTGTCTCCAGTCACATTGGCTTCAAATCCAGAGTCAGTAAATTAAGTTAGCCTGCTCGTTCTCATGTGATAATGCTGCCTTCTTAATTAGATGCCTACTGTGGTTTTTGTTTGGGGTTTTCTACGGGACAGGGAGAGTCCAGGCTGCAGAAGGTAATCTTCCATTTTTGTGGTTTATACCTTTTTTTTTGATATATTATCTTTTATTCAAATCTAGTTTTGTTCCACAGTCAACGAGTCTGTTGTCGAATGGCTTCGTTGGAGCGCCAGAGTTTGTCCTACAATTCACTAAAACTTTGTTTCTAGTGAATTGTCAGAGGTGCCCTGACCCTACAAGGTAAGTCAATGTTTAACTCCTTTTGTTTGACTAGACGGCTGCAGAAAGTAATGATGTCTGCTATTAAAGACCTCAGTGTCGGCTGTCTTAGAACAAAAACACTGAGGCAGGCACAGTTAGTCTGTCGAATGTTTGCTTATTCTTGTGGGAAAACTGCAAACAGGACTTTTTAAAAACAAACAAAAAACCCCCCCAAAACATTCATATTCTTCTTCCCACAGATTCTCTGTCTCTTGGCTGCTTGTCTGATGGAAGTAGATGACCGTCCCTCAGTAAATTTTGCAGTTGCAGGTCTTCTGTAGTTCTATCAAGCTGTTTTTTCCTTCCGCTAAGCAATTTTACGTTACTTCTACTCATCTTAGATTCTTTGAAATACTTTGAAATTTGATGTAGCGTGACAAAATGTGAAGGAACTTTAAGGATGGGAATATTTCCCCAACGCCATGTATAAAAAGAAGCAGAATTGGATCGTGTGAGCCGCCTTTTCGCTCAAAGTCTTGCCCTCACACTGAGTGTAACCCAAGACTGGTGTTACCTCGACTCCAGAGACGGCCCAGAGGAGCTGCATTTCATTACAGACCTCTTGACAAGTCAGACAACGACGACGACTCAGAGCCTCACTCTACAGACAGTGCATGATACTGACCGTTCTCTCTCCTGCTGTGTTCACAGTGGAGAACTGTGGTTCACGTTTGGCTGTGTGTCAGAGAACCTAATCTTTGCGAGACAGACGGAAAAGAAAGAAGCCATTGATCAGAGAAATGTTGCCAGAGGAGAAAGTTTTTTTTGGCTCTTCTGCTAAACTCAAGCAGACGGATCGTTCTGCTGATTTTCTAACATGTTTCGGTGTGCAGGTTGTCTTGACATGTAAGCCTTTGGTTGTTTCTTCGCTCCGACCTGCAAGCCATCACTCCTGGGGTCTTGTCTGGACTTTGGCCGGTTGTGTAAATGAAGAGGCTGTTCTTTGGGCTCCTGATGTAGTGACTGATCTGACTTTATTATTTGTGCAGGCTAAACAGGAGCCTTTATATTAGCTTGGCATTTGTTCGATCATCCTTTAATTTCTCACTGTTTTTTTTTTTCTCTTCTGTGACAAAATGTTCTTGGCACATGTTTTGCAAGGTAAGGGAACGTGGATGTTTGCACTAGGGCTTAATTACAGTGACTCTTGATTCAGCTATTGTTCTTATATCCAACCTCAGTGTTTACATGCATCAAAGAGAATTTATCATGGTTTCTTTTTTCAAGTCTGAGTTTCTGACAAAGGAGAAACATTGCTTTAGTATCACTTGCAAGCAAAATGCAAAATGTGCACAAACTTTTACCCTGTTTTTATCCTTACCCAGTGTCTATAGACTTTAATTTACCAAGTTTTTGAAAAAAGATTTGGTGTCAAAAGGGTGAAAAAAAATCTTTCTGTAGCCACTTTTAGCCTGCCACATGGATGCATTTGACCTAAAGCCAGATTATTGTTATGCTGGTCTGCTTATCTTCTTTGCGAAGAAGTCTGTCCCTGGTGAGACTGATAAGTAGCTGGACAGCAACATGTCACACACAGAAAATAAAGTACTTTCTGGATAGTGGCTTTATAACTGACAGGGCATTAAGTTTCTTCTTTTGGAGAGGTTGCCTGCTCCAGGGCTCATATGCTAATAATATTTTGCAAGGGCACTGATTGTTGTTTGATTGGTGTTTTGATTATTTTATTCTAGTTTAATCATTTAGTATTCTTTAGTTTCTTTCTTTTGTCGATTCAGTACTTCCTTAGTGGTTCTAGTTTATTATGTTTGTTTCTTGTGTCTGGTTATTCTTTGCTTCTCTAGTTCAAATGTGTTTCCTAGATTTGGTTATTTTTAGTGTAAGATTTATTTCCTAATTCCTTGTGTGCTCTCCCTCGCCCCCTGTGTCATTTCTCTCTCTCTCACACCTGCAACCCATTAGCTCATCAGCCCAGGTCTTTTGTTCCAGCGTTCACCCTCACAGTATTTAAACTGAGAAAATAACAGGCTTGTCCTGTTATTTTCTCTGGGATTTATGGTTTTTGTTCTGCTCTGGCTCCCTGTGTTCCCTGTGGGGGTTTTTTTCCCTGAAGGTTTGTAAAAAGTGTGGTGTGCATTTGTTTTCACTACGCTTTTTAAGAACCACAATTCACTGCAATTCTAATTTCTGTAAATGTTTTGAGTCGCTCAGAAAAACAAACTTTCTGTAAACTTGATTATAAATGACTTTGATCGTTCTTGACTAACAGCAAACACAGTAGAAAATAAACCTCATAAGATCAAAACAAGTGTAACTTTTTTTTTTATCTCAGAAAACATAAAAGAAATAAACCAAATTAAAGAACTAACAACCAGGAACATCTCTACAATTTTATTCACATAGGTCCGAACAACGTGAGTAGATGTGTCCAATGTATTTTTTTAATGATTAAAAGTCAGCATACACCAATGATTTTTAAAATGTAACATCTTATGAAAACCCCACCATTTATCCTTGAATTTAATTTCATGTGAACACTTATTCACATCGTGGTGTTTGTTATACCAGATGGGATAGAGATTTGTTCATGGACGTTAAACTGATGGAAATGCTGCTTTTAGTTTTGCATGCAGCTGTCCTGACTGTGATTACGACCCAACAAAATGGGACGGACATTCCTTGGGTTAATAATTTCTCAGTGCTATCATGGTTTTATGTAATGTGAGGGCAGTTCTGTGAGTTGTTGCTCTCAGTCTGTTCACAGGTAAATATACGCGCTACACCTCCTTGTGTCTCTAATTTGTACAGAAAACCCAGCGGATCTCAACTCTTACAGCTTCTTTCCTGGGCTGGGAACTTTATGTAGAGGTGATCCAGTTTGGTAAATTGTTTATTTATCTCCTGTTGCCTTGTTCTGTCTCATGTTGTGTGATTTTTGTGTGGCAGTAAATTAATCGCTCCATGCATTTGCATACTCCTGCATGTTTCTGCTCACACTTAGTGTTACACAAGCTGAGAGCGACTTTGAATCACTCGCTGTCATTTGTTTACTCCATCAGTCAATGCGGGAGCCCTTTCATTTGCAAGTATTTTGATTGGATGTAGACTCAGTCAATGGACCCCTGGAGAGGAGAAAAAAAACATCACTTACTCTGTCTTGAAAGAGAGTGAAAAGGTGGCCTTTAGAAATGTAGATGTAGAGAAATTAGGTTTCCTGCAGCTGTGCTTCCAACAAGTTGGAAGGATGTTTTTTTTTTTTTTTAAAGAGTTGATTAAAGAGATTTCATAGTATTACATTTGCAGTTTAAGTAATGGTGAGAATAGTACTTTCTCAAATTAGTACATCTTTAAAGAGACTGAAACTCGCCTGCAATGCTGCATTGATATAGATGCATCTTGAATAATTCTGTACAGTAGTCTACATTTTTATTTAAAGGAAAGACTGCAGCTCTAATCTAAAGTTTGGATCAATTTGACATGGACATAAAAAACATTCATTTGAGTTTTCCTTTTAAATATTTTTTCAATTTGTTTGCAAACTCTTTCATCAAAAATAACTCCAGGACTGTGCTGATGGCTTAATGTATGGTATCTTTTGGACTTGCTTTGGGACCGGATCCAGACATTAGAGTGGTGGTATTTATTGATATTTGAGTTTGTACGTGTAATTTTGGTCCTCTGTAGATTTAAGAAAACCCATTTTAAATTAGACCTTGTTTGCCCAACCACTGAAGTTGCCTGTTAAATCATTCATCAGAAACAAAAACAACGGCTCCAGTAATATAGCACAAGCCCAATGTAAAAACTGCATAAAGTCCATGATGACTGCATGTAAACTAGTTAGAATGTGGAATAGTAGGTTTTAGCTAAAAAAAAATAAATCATCAGGTTAATATAAAACATTAAAATCATGTAAAGGAAATTTATCACTTTGCTCTTGTGTTTCAAGCACATGGATTTTCTTTCCAACAGCATCATGATGACGGTGTGATTACTGGGTTAGGGAGAATGCTAAGGTCAATACTCCTGACTTTTGATGGCCAGTGGTTTTCTCTTCATGTTAAACAAACATTAGTCAATTGACGTATGTTACACACTTGTTTCAGCATTTTACTTACGGCTGGTATTCTTGAAATGAAGGCGAGTCTTACATTATGAACATAGTTTTTTTTTTTTTTTTAAATCAAACAATTCAAACATATTGCTGCTCGTGTATCATGAGCTTTTAACTGCTCTGCTGTGTAGTAGAAGGTCCTGGTCATGGCTGAAGTTCAAAGTCTCACTTGTTATGTAATATAATTTCATAAGGGAAGTGAATGAGTGTGTCTAAATACAATTTGATACACAAGAGGATTCCAGGAATAACAAGTGACTCCTAAATGTAGATTTTAAGGAGTGTTTTGTATTAATTTTCTCTGCAACAAGTATAAGAAATAAATTGGCTGTCACAAACTGAGGCAATAACTGCTGCCAAATGCAGAGGCATTTCAATAACTTAGTTTAATCAAAAAGTTAAATTAAGATTGAATCACTTACAGTTGATGAGAACTCCACCTTCTCTTTTTTTGAAGGTTACAGTATTACAAACACTAATAAAAAATAATTTACTGTAGATATGCTTTGCTTTGATCTACTGCAGGGGTCTCCAACCTGCAACTCTGGAGCCGCATGTCTCTCTTTTACTTCCTACAATGGTTCTTAATGGCAAAAGTTGAAAAGAACCAGTTAATACTTTTAAATACAAATATTAACAAATACGAGTTTCTAACCATTTTCTATTATTTTCTGCAACATTTGCTCTAAATTTCCACAAAGAATGGCACTGAAAATGCCAGTAATAAGTTTTGAGATTTGTTTTCTTTATCATTAAGTTGGAATATATGCGTCTTCTTTTTTAGGATGTATAAGTTACAGATCCCTGGTCTACACATTTATGTAGAAGACTTTTGACTTGACAGATGTTCAGAAGACAGTTACTGACGCCATCAACAAACAGAATAAGCCTCAAATTGCAATTCCCTAACAATACTGCTTTTTACAATAGTTGTTTTCAAGTATTATTGATTAAAAATTGAGTGGAAGAACAAAGGTGCAAGAAAATGATGTTCTTTACATTCTTTACATCAAACTTATTTCCATTTTGGGCCAAATCAAGATCATGAATGTTCTTAAAGGGCCAGCTGTGCCAGAATGTATTGATAAAAGCCTTTAACAAAACTGTTGGAATATAAATAAATTCTTCAAATTGAATAATATTCAGTGCCTAAAGAATGTTGTGATGTTTTTGTGATAAAAATCAAAGCATTTGTGGTACTAATTTAGAAATGTTCATCATTATGGTTTATAACTTGACATCAAGTAAATCTTAAGGAGCTGTTTAGTAGAAGTAAGAAAAGTCAAAAGTCACTTGGATCCAAAAATCTGCAATAAACTCACAATTATGTATTAGTGCAAAAAAGGTGTAGCGATTCATTGGTTTTGTGTGAATTTCCATGACAATTCGCAAGAAATGGGAAGCAGTAAATAGATAAAAACTGCTTTGATTTGATTGATAAAATGACATTGAAGCATGCCCTTCATCTTTACAGTTCTTTTTATGTGTCACATTAGAGTTTAGAAGGCCAGATAAAAAGCTATGGCGGGCTGGATTTGGCCCCTGGGCCTTCAGTTTGACACATATGCTTTAGATGGTTATAAATCAAAGCCCCCAAAACTTTTGAGAAGATCTTCAAAGTGCTGACAGCAGCAGGACTTTGTTCTTCAAAAGCCACACACAACACATCCAGGAAATGAGCTGCGACTGTCTTGTGTGAATCTGACCTGAAAGTCAGAAATGTCTTATCTGGATTGAAGACACAGCAAATTGGAGTCTTGCTCAATTGTCCAAAGTTTTGAATTTAATTTGGAAATCAAAGTTAGAGTGTGGATGGATCAAAGAGGCACAGAAATGAAGTTGAAGTTAAGGTCCAGTGGGAAGTTTTCACACTCATTGGTGATTTGAGGAACCATTGCGTCTTCTTCTGGTCTTTGTTTGCTATGTAGAATGAAATCGAGTGTCAACACTGAAAATTTTAGGGGTCTTCACGGTGAAGGGGATTCCGATTTTAATTCTGCAGCTAGACTTTTTCATCTGTGCACATTAACAAAGGTACCTGTTTAATTGTTGTGGTATCACTGAGCTTGATTGATCAGCTACCAGGGCCTTTGAGAAATCTGTGGAGTATTGTGAAGAGAAAGATGGGATGCGTCCAACTCAATGCAAACAAGCTGAAGGCTACCATCATAGCAACCTGGGTTTTAAGACCTCTGCAGAGCAAGAGACCAATGCTACTACACTCTGATGCAGTAAAACACAACCAAGTAGTCAACCCTTTTTCTGAACCTATGTTCCATGAGAGCAGCATTTATGTATTATATAAAGTTTTACTTAAATGAATGTTTAAAATATCTTACTCTGTGCATACTGAGTCTGTGTAATATGCTAATTTTATTCTTGGAATTAAATTAAAGAAAGAAATAGCCTTTTGCCAACATAGTTAATCACTGAGATCAACTCATAAATTGGAGACAAGCCAGCTTCCATTGTTCGGCGTTGGAGTGTTGTTGCACTTACATCCACTAGGAGGCAGAGTCACTCTGGTATCCGATGCGCTGGACATCTGTGGATTTTCCATACTGTGTTGCTGACAAAATCTTTAATTTTCTCTCATTTGAAGGTTGGAAACAGGCAGTGATTCATGCTGCAGTCTGATTGGGTTTTATATCTTATTTGAATCTCATTAAAACTTTACACAGAGGGCACTAACACACGATTTCATAATCCTGAGCCGCTTTCAGCAAGCTTCTGCACACACAGTCACTTCCTTTGCAGCAGATGTTTCCATCAGCAGCTTGCATAAAAAAATAAAAAAATCTTACTTCCCCAAATGTTGTGAAATGACCCCAGCGCCCCTGTGGCTGTCCCCTCGCAGCGACGTTTCTCATATGATGTATTGTGACCTTCTCGTTTTAGGTTGCTGGAACTCCATCATAGACAAGCAGGACAGCCAGGCTGACCACAAAATGAACGATTCACAAAAAAACCCTGAAAAGGTGAGCTTGATACAGGTGGAAGTTTTTTTTTTTTTTTTTTTTTTTTTTTGAGGAACGGCAAATGACCTGAAATGTTTTTTTTTTTTTTTTTTTTCCAAAGAATTATGTTCCACTTATTGATAGACTCCCAAGCATGGCACCTATATAGCGCTATGTAGGTCACTGTTGCTGCTTGTTATCTTTCAAGTGTGTCACCAACCTACTCTGACATGGTCTGTGTGTAATGTTTGTACATTTCTGCATTTGTACTTCACTTTTGTTACTTTGGACCCAAATTTGTGCCCCAATTTTGCTCTTTATAAATTGAACAGCATTTGCCCCACAATTGACTTGTGTTAATGTTCACAAATGAGATTATATTGTTGTTATGGTAAAACGCATTTCTGCTTCAGGCGAATGAAATCACACATCCAGGAGACCTGCTTATTATTCTCTTTATGACCATCTGTGTTTGTTCATTAATACTGTTGCTATTCATTAAGGCTCTCTTCATCTTAGCCTCCAAAACTTGTGACATCTGTAAGTATTAAAGCTTTGATCAAGGAGCATATCCTGCACTTTTTCATCAACAACTTCAATCCAGTTGCTCATAAATTCCTTCGAGGACGTTGCTGAGTGGAGCTGTTAAGCTGCATTGGATCTGAAAAGTCGACACACCCTGTTGAAATGTTAGGATTTTTGTAGCTTAAAAAGATGAGACCAAGATAAATAATTTCAGAAGTTTGATGTGTTATTCTATCCGTCCATCCAACGGATTCAAGGCAACTTTATTTATCATCTCCAGACACCAAAGGCAAAGAGAAGGCATTTCTTGAAACAGTTAAATGTCAAGCTTCAAAAGCATCGAATAAAAGTACAAAATATTAAATAAAGTATTTTAAATGCCCATTTTAATTCAAAATCTAACTTTCAATCTCACATTAGCTAATTGTTCAGTTGTCAGATTGTTTGATTGCTGTAATCAAAGGTGTTTTAAGTCTTGATTTAGAGGGACTTCTCTGTACATCTCAGATTTTAAGGGCGTTTGTTTCAGAGATGAGGTCTATCAAAACTTAATGCCACTTCACCTTGTTTAATTTCAGTCCTGAAGTTTCTGAAGGTTTCAGTTCTAGGCCACTGACTGGTTTATAGGCCTTTGTAGTGAACTGATTTCATCCATTTACCGGATGAACTTGTTGTTCAGGGTCATGTCTGTAGTTGGTATTGTGTAATGACATTAAAATCCAATGTACTGTCTAACACCAAAACTTACCTATAGTAGAAAATGGCCCCTTCACATGAAAAGAGTTATTTTTTTCCAATTTAAAGAGAGAGTACAAGCGAAGCGGGCATCACAAATTCTGACAGCCATGAAATAAATTGAAACTAATTCAATATCTGTTAAAAAAATATCCAGTTACATTTAGTTTACATGAATTGTTAAGGTCAGACATTATTAATGCAAAAAACCCACGTCTTACTCACCTAGTGAATAACAATGTACTGGAGCAAAAGACCAAATTTCTCTGCATTTTTAATGTAATATGCTACGATTGCAGTAAAATATAAATTTATTTGAAGGCTTTATTCAAATCTTAAACAAACACCCATAAATATGGAGTGCGCTTCACTTCCACCGGATTAAATTAGGTTTATTTTTCCGAAAGACTGCTATCAGAAGCCAGCCCACTGAAAAGCTACATCGTTGTTGTGAAGAAGGATAATGTTTTTTTTAAAAACACCCAAGCACAAAAAGCAAGACAAATGAGTTACAACTCAAAGGTCATTTTGCTGACCTCAGTAAACGCAATTCCAAACTGGGATGAACCCAATGAGAAGGCGAAGCAGTTAACAAGGAGAGCATCAAGGGGGAAACAACACGGACACAGGCAGTGAGGGTAGCAGGGAGGTCGATAGAGCGCCTGATAAACAGTTAATAGAGCCAATGAATAAATACACTGAGCGGAGTAACATAACCACTGACTGGTGAAGTGAATAACAGTTCACTCTCTTCTCATCCCACCTGTTTGAAGGTGACATATATTAGGCAGAAAGTTGATATCATGTCATCGAAGTGTTAGATTCAGGGATAATAGGCAGGATTTAAGAGGGTTTAACAAACTGGGTCATCCACCTGGTGGATGTCTAAAGAAGAAACTGTGAACTGATGAAAGGGTCAGGGACGGGGATCAAGGCTATTTCATATGAGGAGTGAGGAGAACTACTGAAGTTGAAATTGCTGCTGAACTTATTGCCAGGTCTGCTGGAGAAGTGTCAGAAAACACACTGGAGAATAGTTTGCTGTGTCTGTGAGTGTATAAAGCTGGACCAGTCAGACTCACACTGGTCATAATGTTATGCCTTATCAGAGTGTATGGTGTATGAGGATAAAATGCAATAAAATATGCACAACATATGATACATTATTCTTATTTAAAAATTCAGGTTTGATTAAGTAGGTATTCAATATTTTAAATGTTACTTTACGTGGGCTATTTAAAGACTTCAAGTTAAAATATAAGTAGTTTTGATGTCTAACTGGCCATAAGCCATCATTTATTCCATGTGTGCATGAGCTCTTCGGTTTACTTTATTTTCAGTGTCCAACAGTACATAGTGTATGTCATTGTGTTGTTTTCTTTGCAGTGTGCACACATTTCCCACATCTCTAATTACCATACTTCATTCTAGCAGGCTCAGTTTCACCTCCCCTTTGGTCTGTCTGTGCAGAATTCAGACCCTCTTTAAAATTGCTAAGAACTCAATGACCTTGTAATTACACAGTTGGTGCAGCATTCTAATAAACACTGCCATGAATTATAGGACTGAAAGTTAAACTCAGAGCATTTCTGAGACAAATAGAAACAATGAGATATATAAATAGACATATATATATATATATATATATATATATATATATATTATATATATATTATATATATATATATATATATATATATATATATATATATATATATATATAAGAATCTGGTGAGCAATTTAGACAGTTTGTGACCTTTGAAACAAAACAGTGCAAAAATGCTATAAAATCAGCTTTACTCAAAACCTACCCTCTCCACAGTACTGAATATCTGCACAGCGACCCCATGTGTAAGGGATTGTTCGAGGAACTAACAATGTGGAATCCCACATTGCAGTGGTAATAAGTGGGTGAAGAATGGCCTGTATTGGCAGTAATCACAGCCACAGCAGCTGTTCATCTTAAGTAACACGATCCACAGTGAGTTTCTCGGTCAGTCTTGCTCTAAAAAACATATAATTTCTTCTGCCACTGAGTCTCACAATGCAAATAGAAATTTCTGATTCAAGTCATATGGCTGAAAGGAAAATTGCATACCATCCATTTAAATTTCTGACCTCCTGATGGAAAATGGTCAGATCAAACTGTAAACAAGAACTCATGTATGGAAATACTGAAATTGTTTCTTGGAATATTAATTTTTATTGTGGCATTGAGAAAAGAGCATGATGGTATGCAGCTGTACGACCATTTAGGATTTTAAGAAAATTACACTCGTAGATCTCTCATTCACTCCGTTTTGTTTCTTTAAAATCTTTTTTCAAATGTGTGTATGACTTAAACAATGTGGACAACATTTTGGTACCCTAAAAAGCCCACTACAGAACATATATAGATTTTTTTTCCAAAAACTAAACAATGACTGTCAGGCATTTCTTATGAATTGTAGTTCAACTGAATAGTTTTTGTTGTTGTTGTTTTTTAAAAAACGAATGAAACAGGCCTGAACAAAAATAACTTTATATTTAGTTGCGAAAACGTTTTGGATTACCTCACTGTAATCCATTTTCTGTAGCTGATCTTCTGCAGCTATCCACAGACATTTTGGCCCAGTCCTCATGGGCTCCAGTTGTCTCAGGTTGCTTTCTCCAAATGGCATGCTTCACCTCCTTCTTCAGTAACCTCAGTTTTGTCTCATATGTCAAAACGACATTCTCCCAGAAGCTTTTTGGCTTGTAACTATGAATTGTGGCCAGTCAAGGTCCGATCCTTTTCTCCTTGGATGTCTTCCATGAAGTTCGGTTTGGCTTAATGACGACAGATGGTGCGATCTGGCACTGATGTACCTTAACCTTGACATTTACCGTTACTTTTTTGGACGTTGTTTTCGGGTCTTTGGTTGACGCTCACATTATCTTTCTCTTGATTTGTCATCAATTTACATACATTTTTTCCTGCGGTCACAACCAGGAAGGTTGTGTCCTTCCACATCACCAAACAGCATACTGATGACTTGTCAACTTTTAAATAGACTGACTGGCTGATTGTAAGCTTGAATCAGACTTTTGGTGACATTGTTTAATATTTTTTAAATTTTTGTCCAGGTCTGTTTCATTTGTTTTTTTGTTTGTTTTTTTAGATGATTCTGTTGAACCACATTTCAAAGCAATGTCTGCTTTTCATTCGTTAATGCTCAATACATTTTTATTTATTGCCTTTGTCAGTTCAAGTTGGTTCAATCACCATTGTGTTCTTTTCGGTCATTAAAAGAGAGGTACCAATAGGTTGTGTGCAGTGTTGTTCCATGTGTGTACAGGAACAATACAGCACACTTTTTCATTTTATCAAAAATATCAAACTTATGGGAAGAGTAATAACAGCGAGACGGTGGACGGTTCTGATGCTGTTAGTTCCTCCTAAAAACACACACAGAATATGTCTAACTTTAACTCTAACCCTACCAGCACCTATATCAAACTTCAAAGGGTTATATTTTTGTCAATTTCACCATTTTATTTAAGGTATAACACTTTTCAGAAGAAGTTCCTGGAAGATTTAAAACATTTAAATATCCCTCAAACCTTTTCGAGCCATAACTATTAGCCATAACTAACACATCAGTGTTAAACTATGAGTCACGATGCTCATTATTACTCCTCACCATCTTCACAGTCGTGCTTCCTAAATGCCATTCTTGCATTCTGAATATGTGATAATGTAAATGCATCATGAATCTACTCAGTACATTCATATTCTCCAGAGCAACATGGCCTAATGATGCTGTGACATTTCTTTCTGCTCCCTCCATTAGGAGAAACATTATAATTTTGACTTCCTTAGTGCTTTGGTTGTTTGAGTGGCTATACATTTTTATCTTTGGACGGTTTATAACTTTTAACATTAAAATGTCATCTGTTCCAACATGTCGAGGAGTGTGGGACAATATTCTGATTTCCTGCATTGCATATTGAGAGGTTTTGGTGAGCTATAATGTCCAGGATTTCAAGTGTGTCTAAAATGAGAGTTCATTCACTTCTGAAACTGAAACATGAGTCACCTAACATCACATCTTGTTCACAGCACAGGTTCATAGCATTAGTAGAGTTCATGTTCAGGTGGTTTTTACAGAGGCTTTCAAAGGCATTTATTTTTCTTGATGCTTAATCATGTCATCACTTGATTACTACAAACTTCAGTTGATTGTACAGGTGATAAAGTAACACAAATAACTTAGCACATTTAAATTGAGCCCCATTAGTCATTAGTTTGTAGAAAATCCTTTTACTCCAATGTCAGTTCTTTTGGTTTAGCAAACACAAGTCAGTGTTTTGCATGTGAGCCAAAGACATAGTTTTAAGCACAAATTCTTATTTGTGTTTCGACTTCTCAAGGCCATTGATTGCACAGTTATTTTTTTTTATTTTTCTTTTAGGGATTTCAGTGTGTTTGACTAGCATGAGAATCTGAATTTCGTCCCTTCTGCCTTGTCTCTTAGAAGCAACCTCTCACAACCTGCCTGTTCAGCGCAGCCTTCTTCGGGGCACTGGGCTCATCTTTTCTTTACGGCTATAACCTCTCTGTGGTCAATGCACCTGCTTCGGTGAGTAAAGTTAAACTATTAGCTTGCCTTTGGATAACCCATTGTTATCGGAAGGCAGCGTTAATTTATCTTGTTTTCTCATTTCTTATTTTGTTAGCACAGCCAGAAATCAATAAATGTTAATCTAGATGTGGCTTTAGATTCAGAGTCAGGTGTTACTGACACTTCAGCTGAATGAAGATTAATATGGTGCTGAAAAAAATAGAACTTGAATGTACATTACACTCGCCCATAAAAAACTTAGCCAAAACACAAAACATGCTGAATACCATTTATGATGCACAGCTAAACAGAAGGGAGCCGCATTGATGAATTGATGAAATTTCACCCCATATGTCTAAAGATTATTGCTTACTCAGTGACAGTTCTGGTGAAAACTATCATAGATAATGGTAACAAATATCAATGCAGTTACCATTATCTGCATCGATATTGGTATAAATATCAATACCAATATCGATATCTCAAAATGGGACTTTATAAATGGGAAAAGTCCCATTTTGATGCTCCAAAATGGGACTTTTCCCATATTTTTGATCAAGACTTTTAAAAAGACCTTTATTATGACATTTGGCAGAGTTGAAATATTCATTTATCCTGCAGCTGATGCAGGTCGATAGATCGTTACACCATGTCTCAATACAATTTATAACCCCGAAGCTCTAATGACAGACTATTTAGTTGCACATCAGCGGCTTTCAGATGATGATCGCTTATGTGAATGACTTTTTTTTGCTCCAGCAGAATTTAGCAAGTTTTTAAAATAAACAACGAATTCATAATATGTTACCACCATTAGAATATTGAACGCAATTCATTCTTTTGGAATAGAAGATGTGAGTAACTTTGCGCTGAGCTTCTGTCTGCAGCCAGTGATATGTTGTTCAGTTCGTTGTGAGACTGTCTCTCCTCTGGAAACATAAACAATAGATAGGAACAGTATAATCTATCTTGATTAACTCAGCCCTCAAAGCTGAGTCAGACTGAGAAAAGAGCACGATAAGAGTTAAAGACGAGCACGGTCCACCTAATTAGTACAAAATAGGTCATAAACGCACATGTTTTTTCAGTAAGTGAGCACACATGGCAGTCTTTGAAACAGTGTATCAGAAGGTTAATCCCAGATGTCAAAACTGTTAAACGAATAACACTCCAAAGATGAATTTCCTTATTTACCTGAAACCAACTTTTTCAATTTAAGGCAGGTACCTTTCATGCTTCCACTTTTGAATATATATTTAGAAATTGCTTAGAGTGGAAAGATATTTGCATAGTCTTTTTTATTTTTGGTGAATTCAATTTTCAGGAGCTTTTTTGTTCCAGTCCAAGAAATAGAAACAAACCTTGCATTTTCAGAGGTTAGACTTTCTAATTTAGCCTGGTGTTTGTTCAAAGGTAATTAGATTCCCCACAGGTCATTTAATTAGTATTCAGAGATTACAGCCATCGGCTCTTTGGTTGCCCACACAGACAAAGGCAACGCTGTGCATAACTCAAAATTACTTTCTTTTTTTCCCCACGCCTTCTAGAAGCACATGAGTGTGTGAACCCTTGGTTGTGGCTTTTCAGTCTGTTATAACTGCAGAACTACAGCCAGAACTACAGCATGCAGTCTCACTTATTAGTGAAGGCGGTAGCTTAAAATGTAATCATTTTTCTGTACTGGTTATTGTGATACTGGTCGTGACACTATACAAGGCTCATAATATCAACTACAAAAAATACATATACATGCATGGCTTTTGTCTGTAAAGAGAAAAGAAGTGGTGCTAAAACTGACTTGAATTATCTTCTATCTCTCATATGCATTGATTATGATTGTTTAATAATTGTTGGTGATTTCAACATACATCGTGATGACCATACATCATGATGTATGTGTGACCATACATACGTCATATGAATGATGTCTCATACATATTTAGGCGTTTGTTTCGCCATACTGTACATCTGCTGATTTAGAAGTGGTGCTTTTAACCTCTACCATCTCTTCAATGGAGCCTAAAATGAACCGTGTGTTCATTGAAGAGTGATGTTCACTTAATTAGATCTTATCTGGATAGGATGATTAAACTACATATTATCATACTCAGTGTGATTGATGGATTCAACATAGTAATGAAGGGGGCTGTGGAGATTGAGTTAGAAAAAGGAAGTAAGCCCATACAGAGCCTGATTATTAAAAGTTTAATCTGGAGAATCAGCGCTGTGACGTTATGTGGTGTTCTCAGGGTTTGTATCACCCTCCATTTGCTCCTGGTGTTAATATCAAACTTGTGGCTTCTACCAAATCAAAATAGTTTGATAGTTCCCTGTGCTTTCATTCTGTCCTCTGCAGCACTTTGATGAATTGCTCAAAAATCCCATCGGCACATAAAAGAGATGAAAGAGTTGAGTGAGACCAACTACATACTTTGTTAACATGACAACACAAAGTCGAAGTTTGGCAAAAGTTAGAAAAATGGACTGAAACTTGGGAGAGATATACCCAGAATATTAAAAACAACAGTTTTTTTTTTTTTTTTTACATTGGTGAGGGTTTCTGACGAATCTGCATAATTATTTACAAAATGACTTTTGTAAATAATGAGACAAATGGGAAAAGGGAAAACAAGTCCAAAGCATAACAATATAACTGAGAAAAAAAGGCTATTTGTCAAAAATACAAAGCACTGCTGGGACGGGCGCTTATTTAGTGGAAACCGATAATCTGATTAAGAATACAGAGAAAGGTAGCAAAACATGCAATCATTGTCAAAACATTTGATGGCTCCACAAATACATTCTGCGAAGCTTTGTTGGCTTTTGATTTTTTTGGTAAAAGTCGACACATTTTCAGATAAAGTAGACTGAGCAGATGCATATGAAATAATTGTAAAGAAATTAATTAGCATCAAAATCCTGAGTGAAGATGCGAAAGAGGAAACCTGAACCCACTTATCAGTCTAATTAGCAGACTGATTGCTGTAAAAGAGGAGATGTGCTTGATATGATTGTCTTCTTTGGTTACAGAAGGGAATCTGCGGCTCTTCATCAACATAGTCTCCCAGACAAGGAAGTTGCTGATGAGAGTATCTCTCTTGAAAATAACAGTCTTCAGGAACTTTCATAAAAGGGGAGAGTTGGATTTTCTTTTTTCAAACATTGCGTTGCTTCAACGTTTGAAGCAGAGTGACTATATGTACGGCAATGGACAAAAGACCATTCAGTCCAATGATGCTATAAATGGTTGGAGCAACCAGTTATTGGTTTCCGCTCCCAGTTTAATGCCATTAAAATGTCATAAGTCTAGTTGATGAGTTTCTCAGATTACAACTAACAAGCAAAGGTCTTGTCTTCCCTGTTTACATTGGTCTTTCAGATCTCTTGTCTTACTTTGGAAAAGCTAAATTTCTGCAATTGAATTTGTCCAAAACAGTATGCAAGTCAAAACAATACATCTTCCACATTATTATTGAAGACTTTTCTTTTGGGTTTGGTTATTCTCACACCAAAACCTACTCATGTCTCCAAGAACTAGATATAAAGTTTGAAGGTATTTCTCTTTTAAGACTTGTGTCTTAAATCCTGTGGAATGAGCTTCCTTAGTTTTTATGTTGTCTTGAGTAAGTGGACTCATTTTATTTTTTAAAAGGACATTCCTATTCAAACACACTTTTCCTTGGCATCTTTTGACATGTTCTGGTATTTATTTTTTTAATTCTTTGTGACATTTAATTTGCTCTTTGCCCTCAAAAACACCAAGCTACTAAAGTAGGTTCTGCTCTTCTGTAGATGCAAGAAAGCCTCCGTATTTTTAGCATGTCAAACAATTGCTCATTGTTCATCTTCCTTTAAAGTCTCTGCCCACCAGGAACAAGAGCTGATCATTAATGTATTGCTGACTTCTGTCAACCACAGCAGGGGGACCGCCGCGCTTCCGCTGTCTTTATAAAACTCATGGAAAATACATGGAGCTCCCTTTTTAGTTTATGCTCTCCTACCACACCAGGTTCTAATGTTCACGGAGGGAGCCTGCTATCTGTTCTCATCTGTTTCACAGCTGGAAAAAGGGTGACTGGAAAAAGGTAGTGGTGGAATTTATTACAATAAAACATCTATAGCTGGGAGCCTCTCCAGGCGCACACACCAAACCAGGCTGCCCCACAAAGGATCTTGATTAGCCTTTTTAGTAACAATCTATCAAAGCAACAATAACCTCTTCAAACAGCATGTCAGACCACAGCATGCATGCATAAACCAACATTCAGCTGTCTTTATGCACAGCAGGTCCATCTCCAGCAGCTGGTCTTTTTTAAAACAAATGAAGGACTTTTTTTTAATCAAGAATCAAATATGCAGTAAATCTTGAGAAACATCTCAAATATATAACTAGTCCCCATCTTCTTGGCCTAAAATGTTTTTCTTTTTTTTTTTATTTTAACTTGCTGTGTGCGGCGAAGTGGATTGAAAGGATAAACCTTGAACATTACACAGAGATGGAAGTTTATGTCAGTGGTACAAATCTAAGTAAGCTTTTTTCCTTTTTAATCATTGTAAATCTTTTCTGAAAAACCCGAGCTATTTGGAGGAGTGGTGATCGATGACCGGTAGCTTCAAGTGGAGAAAAATGGGATTAGAAACAGATTCCTCACATAACACTGTGTCTTTGGTAAACCACTGCCATTTTTGCGAAAGTTTAAACCACAGGCTGTGAAGGCATGGAAACTCTGCCTGTAGGTAAGCATAATAAGGCATCATTAGCTATTTATCTATTTCATTTCACTTACTTTTAATACGATGGTGTCATCTGAAATATTTTGAAAAGGGAATCAATCTTTGAGTGTATGGACAGAAGATTAGAAGGACCCAAATTTTAGCTAAAATTAGCAATTCAAAACAATTCAAACAAAAAATGGATGCACCTGGATGACACAGCAATCTGTAACAAAATCAACCATCTTTTGCATGTTGTCAAAAGTAGCCCTAAAGTTTCTTTGTTTCCAATGTTGTACGGACATGCCCAGTCAGCCGATTGAGTCTGTAAGAATTATTTGCTAATAACCACATGACCTTGGCACCTGATTATTAAACATTTCAGTTCTCCTAATGAGCTTTGGCCACCACGTCTCATCAGTTCTGCACGAGAACAGAGTAATTTTCTGAAATGATTGTCAGTTGTGCGGAAGCATCAAAGGTGACCTTTGCTTTCCAGATCAGTTGGTCTTTTGAGAATCAGCCTGGTGCATTTAGGATTAGCTAATCTGTCAACCTGGCTGATATTTATAAATCACTTTAAATTTATACACAGCTAAACTTTCTTTTTGGCCCCGGAGGTTCCCAGTTAGAATCCTGTTCGGTGTGAAACACCTGCCAAGTCTGTGCGCACACAGTTGTGGAGTGGGGGTGGGTGTTATAAAGTGGGAACCCCCGGGAAGGGGGTTTAAAATTCACAGCTTCATGGAGAAAGTTGAGTGCAGTGATGCAGATGGTACCACTGCCACTCTGGGCACTCCGGATTTCTTCCACAGTCCAAAAGGATGACAATGAGGTTAATGGGTCTGACTGTTGTTTGTTCTGTGTGTCTATGTGTTGCCATGTCATGGGCATGCATCACTAGTGTCAGGGACGCATCCCAACTTTTTCCCCAGTGACTGACAGAGATGAGCATCAGTGCTTCCACGTCCCTGAAAGGACAAGTGGATATAGGAACTAGAGGGATGGATGCCGAAAGAAGACATTTGAAACTTCTGTCTCATTTCTCATCATGTAACATTTAGAAATTAAATTTGCAGTTGCATCTCTTTGAACGTTCCTTCTGCTATAAAAAACAAAACAAAAACGGAAGCATGGATTATAAAGTACAAATGAAGCCCTTCTAATTAATAATGAAATGCATAATGTTTGCAGCTATCAGTGATATTTTTATATTGTTTTTTTTTTAGGATATATTTGTCTTGTCTGAACTACAGCTAAATCTGTTTTCTTGTGTTTTGCAGTACATTAAAGATTTCTACAATAAGACCTGGATGGAGAGATATGAGGAACCTATTCCTCCAGAAACTTCCACTCTTTTGTGGTCGGTAACTGTGTCCATATTTGCCATCGGAGGCCTTCTTGGAACTCTGTCGGTCTCTTCGATTATTAAAGTTGCTGGGCGGTGAGTAACACAAGATAATTTGTTCAGCGTTTTATATTTCAGGGCATGATTGTTGTACCAGTCATTCAATAAGACGTGAAAAACAAGATGAGTCTCTAAGGCTTTTGCAGGAATTAAGATAATAAGTTGCAGCAACATGCCATTTGGTAAATGCACTTCATTTAATTGAGCATCACTAGTGGGGAGCGTCTCGGATCAATTTTAAATGTTGCCAGCCAATTGATACTTGTTCCGCTCTATCATGGCAATGTTAACAACCGATAACTGTCTTGGTAAAATGAAAGTATGCTGCCATGAAGCCATTTTCTCTTAATTTGTTTTTTTTTTAATCATTTAGCTGTTAAAATATTCATCCACTTAAAGGAAACGCATTGAACACATTTTCCCAGTAATGGACTTCCCAGTAAATTCTCCCCAGGGTCAGACTGTAGGTTGCTTAGAGAATTTGTGAAAAACAAGCCTGTTAGATGATTAATTGCATAACCAATGAGGCAGAATTACCATTCAGCAGACTTCCAGGGTGGATCAAAGGATTGCAGAGTACTTACTACAGTCTGGCATGTTAAATGCTTTCGTCAGACTTCGGCATATAAAAAGTGTTTTCTGCTCACGGTGTCGCTCCGTGTGATTCCAGACTCACCTCACAGCAACAAGGTCACAGCAGGATCCCTGCAAAACTCACATTACATGTCACATTGCACCATCAAGGTTCAGTGTTTTTGGATTTTATTGGACAAGGTAGCACAAAGTAAAGCATCCAGTGCCAATAAAAGATCTTCACTTCCATGATTTTTTTTGTCATTTTTGTTTTGATTTACAAATCAGTCAAGTAAACTTTGGCTTTTTTGACAAACTAATGTCTATTAAATTGGATTATTTAAAATTAAATAGGTAATACATGAACATGCTAAACTGTTCAAGGATGTATTTTTATTTCCTAGCTCTAAACTTTTCAACAACCTTCTCCGTGTCTGCTATGTTCTTGGTTTTTATGATGCTAGTTGTTGACTAAATGGTCAATAATTAGGTCACTTCTGAATGTCATTGGCTGCACTGGATTCAATTTTGGGGGATCAGAGTAAATTAAGACAAATATTAGTATGTGCTTAAAAGTTTCATTTGCACTAGATGGCAATAGATCTCATACGAAGAGTGTTTTGTGTGATGAAAAAGAGGAAACATAGATATCATATACACCAGCTTTATAAAACAAAAAGCAGTGTTAGAGTAAAAGGTTTAGAAAATTTGATTCAGTTTCTTTACATCTGTGCAAAGTGGAGGCACTGGTATCTGGAAACCTTTAGTGGATACTGAATGTGAGTGCGCACTTCACAAACCAATTTCTTTCCTGTATGCATTTATTTATTAATGTTTTTTCAAGTTTATAATAAGGCTGTCCAATCCTTTGCTTCATATCTATGGCTACTTTTTCAGGTTTGGTCCAGAGTTTTGATTCATTGATTCTTGACACGTTCAAGATTAACTTTTATCCATCCTCCTTCATACTCCACATTGGCAGATTTCAGATGAATGTTTATTTTTTTGGTAGTTGGTGTTGAAGTTTATTTGATGTGTGAAATTTTCTGTACTTTTTTGTTTTTGCTTTGCCTGACTTTTCAGGCAACGTTTCAATCTTTGCTTTTCATGTCTTTTATCCCATTCCCACAGACATTTATTTATATGTTTTACAGTCGTAAGTGCTCATGTATAATTATGTTGTGCAAGTGGTAAAAATTTTTTAAAAATTGCAGCATATTACTTTCCTCCTACAGCTGCAGCACTGGTGAGTTTTGTTCCCCTCATTTTTTGTTAACACCCAGTTGGACAGGCAGCTTGTCCTACTAAGTGCAGGTCTTGGAAAATCACAGCTATTATGTGAAAAATATTTTTTGGTGACTTATTATTCTGCCAGCGATGTACGACTTAAGTTTAGGGAAAAAAAAAGAAAAATAGACAAAAAAGAAAGGAGTTGCTTTTGATCTAGCAGTGGTGCTTTGACAACTTATTCCGCCTGCTGAGATCCAGTCTCACAGCAAGTGTAATGAATTTCTCAGGGTTCGGACAAGTCAGGTAGTTTCACATCCTCCTGTGCCCTTCAGGGACAGACTGGAGCTCAACATAATCACCTCCTATGCTCCCAAACTAATTTTGATTCACAAGAATCTATTAACCAGTAGTTATTAGGATGACATTGTCAAAGCAGAGGAAGAATCCCGTATCTTCGATTTGAGTCCACTACAACACTCTTAAGATTCACCTCGACTTTCTTTCTCTGGATTTCTGCTGTGTCAATTGAAGGTACTCATTTTTTCTTTTATGTTCTCTGCTAGACATTAGCGTCCCAGTTGGTTATCCGGAATAGGCTGACATTCAGATGTCAGAGTGAATATATAAAAGCATCAGAAGACACATGCAGAGAGCAAACAGACAGCAACTCTGTAAAAGTGACCAAGGAATTCATTAAAAGTTTTCAAGCGAAGCTGAGGTTAATGGCTTTTTTTTTTTACAGTCTTTGTCATAATGAAGACGTGACATGAAGACGGCGTCGCGTCTTGTTTGTTCTCCAGCTCTGCTATCACGTAAAAGAGGCTGCCCATGAGACGACTTTCATTTCTGCAGCAGCAGTTAAAATGAGCATCTACTCCTTTGACCCTTGACATTAAGCGATGAAACTCCTGTTTAATCCTTGCAACAAAATTAGATTTTTTTTTTGTTGTTTTAGTTTTCGTCTTCCGGCTTGTTTATTCTCAGCTCAAAGTTTGGGTTTCAAATTGTATTCTTACAACGGTAATGTCTTCACAAATCAGCCTTGTGTGCATGCAGATGAATTCATGAATATCCATAAAGCCTGTTTCATTTTGTTGACATTCAGAGGTGGTTTTGGAGGGCATTGTGAAGAAAACCAATTTTCACAGTTCCAATTCTGATGTTTTTCAGAATTGGATGTTTTATATATGAGGTTATGAATCTTATATGAACAAACCTCTGCTACATCTTGAATATGTATAGGAACAGCATGATTGAGTTTGGTGTATGCATGTGTCAGTGGGCTGGAAGCAGCCAGGAGTCAGGAAAACTATCAGAAATACAAATAAATAACCCTCGATGACTTACATATGGAGAATAATATTTGTTCAACTCATTATTTTAATTTTTTTAACTTTTAACCAAGCCAATAATTTAATGCAATTGTAGAAGGTCAAAATGTTGTAAAGTAGCAATAAATAAGAAAGATAATTCTCATACAATAAACTAACTTCAGTTTCTAATGTCAATAATGTTGTTACCCAATGTCCTTCCACCAGTCTGTGCAACCTTTCCATGGTAACCAGCTGTTGCACTGGTCAATGAATAATACTTGCATCAAATACTCGTGCCAGTACTCGGTCCTTTGTGTTTTAACACAGATATTCATCACATAATTTAGGTTGGACATCATTCTGTACTGGAGCATGATACTGACAGTGCATCCGCTATTAAACTGGTCAAAAACAAAAATACAGCAGTCTCTGAGACACTGAGTGATTTATGCCAAGCCTTTACTTGTAATAATTATGATGACTTTAATTGAATTTAATGCAAAAGATAACATTTCAGATTAGAACATTACATTCTATTCAACGACATTAATATAGAAATGTGGACTAAGGGAAACGTAACAGTTTATTTGTACTTTTAATCTGCCTATGGACCCTTATCAGAAGCATATTTTAATGTGTTGAATATAACTAGATTAAACCATTTTAGTACAAGTTGGACCTCCTTTTACCACAATAATTCTTCTTGGCCTACAAACATTCCTTAGAGATTTTGCATTGGTACAAATCCTTTCATCTAAAGATGTGCTTCTTCTTCTTTTTATTTATTTTCTTTAAATAAAAAAAAACATGTTGAATTTTTCAGACCTCATTCACCACTACATAAAATACGACTTTGATCTCTTCTCAGTCATGCTAAAAATAAATAACTCCATGTCCATACGAGCTGACAGATTGAAGTCTAATACAGCTTCTTCATGTAGATTTAGTTCAAGATTACTCGGTAATGATGTCAGGCCACCCAAGGGGCTAAAAGAGTCACCTGCTAGATTACATTTGAAATCTCCGAGATGTTTCAAAGGGAAATTTCAATTTCATTTTAGGTGTGAAGGGAGGGGCATAATATGACAGTCTGTGCTTGCTTTGTAGGACATTAAGCGAAATTTGAACAGCCTGTCTGAAGTTCTTTCTGCTTTAACTATTTTTCTTGGGCCCTTTTTGTTGGAAAACTCTTTGATAAAGTGGATTTTGCAACATGTCTGCAAGAGCTGCCTGAACGCACAGTTTGTGGCGATCTCTTTCATTTGTGAATAAAAAACCACCGACACCATTATTAATCTGATAATTCCTGTGGCTGATGATTAGGTCGATTATGATTACACACACTGACACATTCAAGTGTCTGTTCAGAAATTGGTGGTTTAACTTTGTTTTTCTTGCTGTGTGAAAAAAAAAAGTAATTGAAATGAATCCTCCATGAATTGTTCTCCATCCACTTGGCAAAAGGGGCCTACTGCATCAAAACCTTTTTCTGCTTCCCTGGCCTTGAAGAATCCTTTGCACCCAATGGTTTTCATCCCTTTTATGAACATCTAAAGCCACGAAAATGTGAAGTTATTCTCTTCATCCTCCTTTGGATGTCTCGAGTCTCGTCACTCCTGATTGTTCTTGCTTTGGAGTGCCTTGCGGAAATGTTTTGACAGAAGTCAGATATGCTTGCTGTTCTCCTTCTTTTGTCACAATTAAAGCGCTGCAGATGTTTCAACAAAGGGCTTGAATAACTGGATTAGAAATCTATTCAGGTTTCATTGCCATCATGTCTATACTGCTGATCTTCTCCTCTTTCCTTTGTCACATAGAGTCACATCTACATTGTCTTTCTGTTTTCCAGAAAAGGAACCTTGCTGCTGAATAACTGCTTTGCTGTGACGGCTGCTTTGTTGCTGTCGCTGGGTGAGATTTCAAGATCTTTCGAGATGCTCATCATCGGCCGGATCGTTATGGGCGTGAACTCAGGTCAGTGTGCAATTAAAGGAAGCACGTTTTGTTGCTATTGGTGTACAACAAATGCTGTAGCTTTTGCTTATTTTGGTGAAACAAGAGTGGGGGAAAAAAGGTTTAATTAACTATGTAAACCTTTTGATATTCCTCCACATAATTTAATAATTTAAATTATAATTTTGATACCCCTCCAAATAACACCTAATTGCTCAGCCTTTTATCACAGTTGAACAAATGCAGCAGACTGTGAACCTGAGAGAACAAACACATTTGCAGAGAAACACTTTCCTGTTTCTTTTAAAATGCTCCTGCCAGAACTAAGTAATGATAAAATAATTAGGTTTAAAGTTTGACCTTTCCAAAGACTAAGCTGCTTGTCTGCATAAACAAAACAAACAAAAAAAAAGAAAAAGAAGAAAAAATTAAGGTAAATATTATATTGGTAAAGAAAGTGTTTGGAGTTCATCAAGAGGCAAAGGCAATAAAGATAGGCAGATGTGCAAAATAACTTGCTTATCAAATATGAATTTGGTGACGATCAGAGACGCTCTAATTGCCTTCTGTTCTGAGAGTTTCACCCAAACCGCAGAGGGAAATAAAGCAGCACTTCATCAGAGAATGACTCCAGGAGAGGCCTTGGCAACAACCATTCCTTACATATCACACTATCAACAGTAAGGGAACTATCTGCTCGGACGCTCTCATCACCAAAACAAAACAAAAAAAAATATATATATATATATTTCAAGCTGCAATAAAAGCAAAACAAACTAAATACAAAAATAACTCTCCTTACTTCAAGTGGATAATCATGAATAATTTTTTGTCTTACTCAACTAAGCCTACAAAATTGACTATCTTGTATGGAATTGCTTTAATTTTATCAACGAGTTGACATTTTGAAAGTCATCTGCTTCGCTAAATGAAAGTTGTAGATTTGATGTGTGCCATTTGATAGAAACTGTTAGTAGAGCGCATTTTTACGACATCCTCAGGTCTCAGGAAAACATCTCTAAACATAACGACCTCAGACGATAGAGACAGCTGACAAGAAGTTACTATCAGGTTAACAGATTAAATGGCATCAGACCCGATGGATCCAGACAAAACGGCATGATAATAACGGGACTCAGACCTAAAGGCATATTCCCAAATAGACTAAGATCAAACTGAGTCAGGTGAAATGAAATGATTCGGACCAAACAGATGTAGACCAAATAGACTCAGACCAAGTGACATACTAAGCTCCTCCAGAACAAATGAACTTAGACACAAAACAATGATTTTTGGACAAAACAGCCTATTTTAAAATGACATCAGATCAAATGCAATCAGACCAAACTGATTACATTTAGTCTGTAATCAGCAGTGCCTGTACTGGCACTGCTTGTGCCAGTACAGGTTTATTAGCACTCTTGTCAAGATCCCATAAGCCTGAGCGTTTCACCGAGTTTATTAAACACAATAGAGACCAATATGTTATTGGGTAATTCTCTTCCATAGATTATTTGATCATTTTTGTTTTCTTTCTTCCCTTTTTCACCTTATTCCATTACGTGACCTTCGTTTTTTTTTTCCCTCTAGGTATATCACTGAGCGTCCTCCCCATGTACCTGGGAGAGATTTCCCCTAAACATATCAGAGGCTCCATTGGCCAGTTCAACTCCATCCTGATCTGCTTGGGCGTGTTCACAGGACAAGTGTTGGGTCTACCTGAGCTCTTGGGTCAGGTCGGTGAGCAAACAAATATAATATGCCCTCATATATAAGCAGTGGAGTTTTACAATTTATCACTGATGAATGATTGTCATTGCTTTGATGAAGTTGGAAAATGAAAGAAAAGGCATAGAAATCACTAAGTCCATGAAGTACAGTGGTACATATGACTGCGGTGTTCTGTGATCGGATAAGGAGCTGATGTAATTTCCAAATCCAGGTGGAGAAGCTCCTTTCTTGGTCTGCTTTAGTAACATGTCATGGTATAACAGCAGAGTGTGAACACCTTTTAAACATCATCTGGATTTCAGCTGCACAGCAGCTTATCTGTCCTCCACGAACCACAATCTATTGAATCTGCTGGATCATTTACATGCCTGTCTGTGCATTAATTTGCAGGTGGCTGCTGGTATTTTTTTTTTCTCTCGGTCTATTACATAAGCTCTTCAACAATTAATAACACAATAAACCTCGATCGCGCAGACAGATAATCAGTTTTTCCGGACTCCTTTTACCGGTGGATGATTTTTCCTTCAGGCTGGCCTGACCTAAACCATGACAAATTGTAGCTGAGGAAAACATTACCAATTGCCTCTTCCATTATGAGACATAGATTTAAAAAAAATAAAAAATCTTTAAGTTTAATTGTGTTGATTTGTTTAATTTCCAGGTCCGCTTTGACAGTTCACTGACGACTCCTTATATATTTTCTGCATTCTCTAGTGTTTGCTATAGACACGTCCCTTGAAGTCTATTGAATGAGTCAAGTAGAAAACAATGCTGAGGGCAGCTGGTGACACAATTGATTACTGAAACGGGTATATGGCAAGGTGCGAAAAAGAATATGTTAAAAGCTTGAAGGCATGGTCCGGTGTTCACGTAAAAATACATTTCAGCAAACATTCAGCTTCTGTGAACATTCAGCTTCTTCATACAACCTCCACGTGGATGCTGTTTTGTTCATAGCAAAACCAGCCAAACATGACACTTTCAGGATTTTGTAATTTGCTCCTAATCTCTTAGCTCTACTAGGTTGAAAAAGACACACATGGCTGAGCAGGAGATGTTTAGGTCGTCCCTAAAATTTGGTAATACTGACTAAATCTCTGCTGACAAAGGAATGGCGCTGCACACTTTTTCTAAAGCATTTAGCTCAAACATAGTGAAATATTATTGCAACTTAGGGTAATTATTGTGGCTAATCATGCAACTGTGCTGTTGTGGGAGGTCAGTTCCTGACTCATTGTCATCTGCAGACATCAGCAGATGTTTAGCTCTGACAGACGGCTCATCAAAGCAAAAGACAAGATTTTCCTGCCAGATGAACATCAGCTGCGGTTACAGTCAGCATATACTCATGAGAAAGGTGTTTTGTTTCACGAAAACAGAACAGGTCCTACGTACAACAAAAGTCCATCAGAGTCTGTGGTTTCAAATTATTTTAATGCATGGTACAAATAACTTCCTGTTCCAAAAGAGATGTAGCTTCAAGGGCTCTTTTTTTAAATTAAAAACATTGGTAAGGCTGGTAGTAATTAATTTAATCTTTTTTACTTGAGGGAATTAAAGATTAGGTCTTCAACGTAATATAATAGGTTCTTCAGTCGAGATGCTGTAACCACAGAATTACTTCTTCACTTCACTGTAAACCTGAAAGATCATTTGTTTGCTGAATAGTATGGCTAATGACACAAAAACAGAGCTTGATACCTAACATTTGTCAAGATTAATGGTTGGTTTAACATTGAAACCAACCAGGTTGGTTTTATAGTTCAGTCAGTTGTTCTATAAGAACTAATAAGCGTTAGCCACTTCGGTGCTGAGCCAGATATCAGCTTAGCTAAGAAATCACCTTTACTTGTTTGCACTGAAATGGCCTTGCTTTCCTCTCCTCCCTCGTCTCTTGTATTGAATTGCAGTCGGGAAAGCGCACCGGTCATAAATTGTGCAGAACCAGGACGTTTTTCCCACGTCACCAGAAGAGTTCACATTATGCACGGCCACTCTTCACGTTGCTGTGGCTATATTTAGCATCAGCTTTAATAATTCATGACCTAAAAATAGTCATTAGAAGGTGCGGTTGAAACCAGATACAGAACTGCTCAAAACAAAATCAGACTAATTTTTTCCTTTTTAGCTCAGTCAGGATGAAACAACTGAGCTAGTGGTTTCTATTTGGCTTGTTTGCTTAATTTGCTGATTTTTAAAATTTTCTTAGAAATCCAAAAAAAATCCAGAAATAAATGTAATACCTTGAGAAAATTTGTGAAAACTCCAGTCATGATGTCATGACTTTGTAAGCCTTGGAATGACTTAAAAGCAACATCAACACCAAACGCATCATGAAATCAGCCGACATTTCAGAAAAAATGTCCAGCTATAAAAAAATTGTGTTTTGGTGCGAAAATGTGTGTCAACCCCTGAACATGAGCAACAGCAAACTACACATTTTATATAGCAGTTCAGTCAGGAGTACGGGACAAAATTCAAACAAAGATTTGTGAGGAAAAGATTCCCAGAAGAAGTTACAGTTTAAAATCAATTTTAACAAATACTAAGAAAATGCCTATAAGTTTATATGTAAGTGTTGCCCACAATCCCTTGCTGCTAAAACATATAAGAATGATTACAATCCTGTTTGTACAACAATGAGGGAAAATGCACATTTAACATTACAGGCATTAGTAAATAAAAGGGTTTCATCCCAAGGAATATTTTCCCGTTTTTGCTGTTTTTATAAATCCATAATGACTAACAAAAAAAAAAAAAAAAAAAGATAAAAATTCAAAAGAACCCCTTTAATGTCAAAGTGTGGACTCATTTCTACAAAATAATCACATTGATTTTATTTTCCTTCTGCATCAGTACACTACTTTCTGTTCATCTGTCACAAAAGTTGCTCAGAAAATACACAAAATTGTGTTGTAATCGTACTCCATCAAAATTAAATGACTGTTTTATCACACAGCAGAACATGCAAAGGATGAAAACCTACTAAAGGAAATGAAATCGTACACAATCTTGGATGAATTACAGAATGCTGGGGATTCATATTTGAGTCATTCTGTGCTTACAAATGCTTTGAACAATTTAAGACAACAAAATTATCCTATTAAAGAAAAGGAAAAAAAAATCTAATATATAATATCTAATTTCCATTTTAAAGTGCATTTACTTTGACTTTTGAACATTCTTAATGAAACTTGTGTGTTATTTGCAGGTAGAATACTCATTGATTTACGTTGCCTCTTAACATCCACTTTTGGCCCCGCGACATTGATCCTAATGAGTTACCTTATGAGGTCATCCGAACAACTTTCATGACCTGGGCTCTCGTGTCAGCCGGCTTCCCCTCCACATCTTCCTGGCGACATTAATGTAAGAGTTGGCCACAAAGGTTTAAATGCCAAGGTCTTTCCGACTGATGAGGTCTCACAGCTCTGCTCTGACTTTTTCAACTCCGCGGCCTCTCAGCAGATCGTTCCAGTTTGGCTTGACATTCAAGCCCGAGCTGCTGCTGGGAGAAAGCCCATCTCTGCTCACACTTAATTATTTTTCTTCACTTTCCCAGGCTAGCTGCCAACATCGCCCATCAGGCACCTCAGTTACAAAAAAAAAAAAAAAAAACTTTTACCCTTCACTTCACAGTACGTGTCTGGGCCTATCTGTCTGTCTCATTTCGTTTAGATAGCACCAGGAATTGTCAGTCACACCTTGCTAACCCAGAGGAAGTGTTACTCTGTCCCTTCACACCTTATTGGCTATTGTAGCAAAAACATTGGGTATGGTCGGTGATGATTCTGCTTGCCACTGAAAGATTGTCATGACAGGGATCCATCATAAACCCGCTCAATTATTTGCGTGCTGCATTCTTAGTTTATCTTTTAGGCCCAGAAACAGACATGAGCCTAAAGCACATGAGCTTTGAAAGCCAATCTGTTATGTCACGAGTGCTAATAATCAACAGCTCTCCTCTTGGCACAATTTGCAGACTTTAGATAACTAGTTACGTTTGGCACTGTATTAAAAAGAATAATTATGGAAAATGTCTTCTGAAATTAATTAAGCATATTTATATCTGTTGGCACTTGTTGATGTTCAGTTTGCGATCAGTTATGATTGCAAAAATAAATAAATAAATAAAAGTGCAGTAAAACTGAAAGTAAAATGAACTTGTATTTAAGTGTTTCATGATTCTTCGAAATGTACATTTAAAATGTTTTGGACCTGGATCCATACAAGTATACACACGTACATCTCTTTTCTTCTGTCCATCCGAGATTTATTTGGAGTTTTCGATTCGAAAAAATATTCAAACTTGTGCTGGACTGAAGGTACTTGTGACCCAGTGAAGATACTTTTATGCTACATTATGTTTATTATGTTAAAACATAATAATGCGTGTTTTCCAGGACACTGTTGAATATTATTGAAAAGTTAATGTATTTATTTCACACTACGCATATTAATTACACACAGACTGAATTTGAAGCCATTATTTCTATTAAGTATTAGAAAATACTGCTTGAAGCAAATTGAAACATGACATTTAAGATCAAAATGTTACATCAGACCAATAAAAAAAGAGAAAAAAGTCATATTTATACAGAAATGTGCCCTTGATGAAAATCTATGTTTATTCTTATAAACAAGCCGTCAGAACACATTTCGATTTACTGCCATGTATCTGTATAATGCCAGACTCTTGGCTACTGGGAAAGTGTTGAATATTATTGCCTCAACGACTCTTAGCCTGCCTGGTTTTAATCTAGTTAAGAGGTTTTTGACTCTTAATTGTTCATTGACCAAACATTAGGACATGCTGTACATCGTCTGATCAAAAATTACTGCCGCCATTAACAATCTGAACAAATATTTAGACATCAGGTCTCTGTTCTGTCTGAAACTGAAGTTGATGTATTTTTGTGAAAATTGAACGTGGCAACATAAGCCTTTAAATCCTCTTTCTGCTTCATGTTTTGTATGGTTTCTAACCTTATGGCACAAATATATG